TAAATGAACACCATATCTCAGTAATGATCCAGATTATACGGGTTATATCAAGTTTTGATGTCCAAGATTCTGTGTTCTTTAGATACATCACACAGCTTGAAGCATAGTGATTGGAAGACTGAAGACTCTGAGGCATGCTAGGGTAGAGATATTTCTGCAGTGCTTTCTATTGATTCAAGGATTAAGATCGCATTGTCTTGTAGCCTGTTCTAGGAATGAGGTATAGATGAGTTCTTATGGCCATTGTATGACTATTTCTCCTCTAGGATATCGATGGTTACTGTTATTACTTGCAAACCAAAAGCTGTACAACATTCAAAGATATACGGAAAGGGCGTTTATAAATTATGGAATTATTGTCTTAAGAAGACCAAAGCTGAGCATTCTTGACCTTACAAATACTTTCTAACACATCTACAGCCATTATGTTCCCCTTCACCACTACCTTCTTGCTTTGTACCATGTCACTCCTGTTTATGTAAGAAACCCATATTCAGTATCTCAATAGTGTTACAAACTTTTTCTGTTTAAAAACGATAAGAATCAAATAGTTTGAACTTGTGTTCTATTCTATTGACTATTTCAGTTTGTATAGATATCTTTGAATGTGGTTTTTCCCAACAAATGATTGCAATTATCATCATACGTTCAGTGTTAATGTAAATATATGATTTTACATAAATTTATTCCAATAAAGTATTTAACTTTTTAGATTTACCCATTCATATTAGTATCTTAGTTCTGAAAGTTAAAAAGATAAAAAAAAATAATAATAATATCATACTCGTAGTGATTAACAATGGCTAAATTCTAATTTTGTTAATATTCTAGTTTTTTAGTTTGTTCTTGAGTTTTCAATTGAGTGTTGAGCTTTGTAACAAGCCCAAGGCACAATGTGAATGACTAGTCTCGTGATGACCTGCTCATACGTTCTCTGTGTTATGCCGCTTGAAACACGTTAATTAGGTGACGGAAAAATTGTGATTAGATATGGGCCTAGTGGGCTTATTTATATATCTATTTGATATAGGCCCATTACATTCAGTTCGTCTTTGTCAAAGAGTACCCTGAATTCAGATCTACCGTATAATCCAGTGACTGAGAGATTGAAGACGATGACCTCTGCATCCGCCATGAAAGCCGCTGGAGTTTTGGTTCTGTTTACTGTTCTAACATTAGGTAAATAATCTTCTCTTTCTGTATCGTTCTCGATCTGGTGATATCTTAAGCATCAACATTTTTTAGATTATGCTTGGTATACTTGCGCCATTGATCTGATCTCCGTTGATTTCTTTTGTTTCTTTCCGTTGAATGTGACAATGATCTTCAGCTTATGCGAAAAAGTCAGCTGATGTGACAGAGTTGCAGATTGGTGTCAAGGTATATGTAAAATTGCTCTTTCGGTTTTCCGTTGGTTCTTTTCCATGTTTGATTCTCTGTTTGCAAAACCGAATTTGATCTCAGTTTTCATTTCATGATTAGAAGATGATAATGGCCATGATTACGTACGTTTTAGCATTGAAATCTGTTTCTCTATACAGTCTTTTGCAATCGTATCGAGCTACAATAGATACGTGGGGTCTGTTTTGTTTTTCTAATCTTCTATGCCCTGTTACATTGGAATGCAAATGAATATATTGGAAACGGACTCCGGCTTCTATATTCTTTTTGTTGTCAAATTAAGTTTTGTGATCCTTGTTCTCATTTGTTGCTTTTTCCAGTTCAAGCCTCAGAAATGTGATAGTCAGGCTCACAAAGGGGATAAGATCAAGGTCCACTACCGGGTAAGTATTATCGAAGCTTTGAGTACGTAGTATAACTTATGCTAAGAAGGTTTCTTCTTGCTTGCCTGATAGTATTCTGATTGAGTGAAAAGAGAGATTGTTAGAGGAGCTCTCTATGTTATTGCGACCGTTAAACCTTGCTGATATGTTCTAAATTTTTCAGTGAGGGCATGATGATTTCGTCAGTGTTTAGTATGACATATTGATGTTGGATAGCTTATAGCAAACAAAGATAATGAATCTGTTGTCAAAAATGCTTGGCGATTAACATAGTCCTCTCCTTCCTACAGGGAAAGTTAACTGATGGAACTGTTTTTGATTCAAGTTTTGAGAGGGGTGACCCTATTGAGTTTGAGCTTGGAACTGGTCAAGTCATTCCAGGTGTGTTGAAATTGCATTGCATGACTCTGTCTTATTTTCCCCTTTATTGTTACTTTTTTCTAATTGATGGTAATGCAATAAATTTAAATGTTGCAGGATGGGACCAAGGTTTACTGGGAGCTTGTGTAGGTGAGAAGAGAAAGCTGAAAATCCCATCCAAACTTGGTTATGGTGATAACGGCTCACCACCAAAGATCCTGGGTATGTTATCTTCGTAGCAACTGAACTTGGCTAGTAGATAGTTCTGTTACGTCCTCTTATCTAATAATGAGGCTAGAGAGAAGAATATATGATACTCAATTGACCAGCCAAAGAAAAATGCTCCACTAAAAATCAACAARGCATGTGTATACCATAAGTGCATCAGAACCAATCAGATATTGAGAGTTGTTTGGTTGTGTAAATTTTCGACCCTATCTGAAKTGAGRTGTGATATGYTTTGAAATTATATTGAGGTTTGTGAACCTGCAAAGAAAATAYGAAAAYCAAAGTGAATGTGTGGTGGTGAATTGCAGGTGGGGCGACACTGATATTCGACACCGAGCTTGTTGCTGTGAACGGGAAAACATCCAGCGAGGGAAAAARGAAGAATGAGCTTTGAGTACACCTTACATCTTCTCCTTATTTTCCTTTACTCATTTAAAGTGTAACCTTTAAGTTGTCGTCTTCAGCATTTGAATCTCAAACATGCTTAGAATCACTTATATTGCATTATTGCTAGTTATAGACAATAATCTTATTATGTTTTGGTCTTAACATTTAGTTATGCTTGGCAAGTTCGAAAATAACAACTTGGCTCGTTGTATTCGCAATTAACTATGCTCTGATCGGTTACAACTACATGGAATCGCAAAAACATTGATCAAAATCAATTATAGATTTTTTTTGTGCAAGTATTTTACAAACAACAAAAATTTTGATCATAACATTGGTTACTTAGAATGGAATCGAAGATGAATGTAGTTGACGAGAAAATTTTGATTATAACTAGCTTTTTAAGATTTTGGTTATCTCCTGTTTTTGTCTTACTTAGTTCAAAGGTACTTTAATTCGCTTTTTTCAAACTTCCACATGATAGTTTTATCGTAGACTTGCTACAAGTAATAACGTTGAAATATGTACCGGTAGGCTATCAATTCTTGCTAATATTGGTGGAATTTTAAATACAACAGCTTTTAAAAACATTGAAATCGCATAATAATCATCGCCTCGATTCCGCCACTTACGAATTAGCCCTAATCAAAACAAAAAAAAAAATCCTGTTTATTTACTTGTAAACATTTGACATGTTTTTTGCCTAAAATAGTTAAACGGCCCCATGTTGATGACGTAATCAAGACACATGATCAAAGTAGAAAGATTGACAAGGAGCTTCTTGCTATTAGTAAAGACTAAAGAGCATGCAGTCAAAACAGGACAACTATAAAGTCGTTACGTGGGTTTTGCTTGTTGATATGGGGACTCATATATTACCTTGATGAAAAAAGGACGATGCTGAGCTCAAATTCTATTATCACAGAAACACCTGCACTCGTGAAGCTGTCTTTGCAAAGAAGAGTTGCCTATGTCAGCTGAAATCGAGTAATACTTATGCTTCTAAGCTCTAACAATAGTTTCTCACTTTCTCTGCGTTTACAATGTTAATTGCTCATTTTTTAATCCTTTTGTTTTTCAAAGGACAGACACGTTGCTTTAGGGATAGATCAACCTTTGTCTGGCTTAGCTGAAGGTATGTGACAGTTCTTTCATCTGATTTACTATGATGGTCCCATGTACTACTGTATAACTCAATAGCTCATGTATCTTGTTGTAGCCTCACCAACCAACTTGATTCTGGGAAAATTTATATGGTTGAGAGAGGTCTATCTGCTCTCAATTTGTTTTTAATGTAAAATGGTGAATGCTCACTTTTCTTTTTCTTGAAGAAAGTATGCAATATTTATTGGGTGTTCTTGCATGATCATCTCAAGTGGTATGTCCTAGGCACAACAATGTTAGTGTACAAATTAGCTACCATAGCGATGCCGTTCAAATCAATAGCCCCTCCATCCTTGGTTGCATTTTTGTTTTCTAAGAAAAGGACAGATAATCAATCCTAAAAAGAATGTGTATTAGAAAAACKACAAAAGGAGAAATGTTTGTGACACATTTGATATGTGCCAGCAGGTACAATACATCATTTGATAAACTGCGCATGTTATACACAATCTGTAAAGTAAAGAAAAAGACTCAAACTTTATTGATCATCAGCTTGAACAACGATACAATCGTGATTCATACATGACTAATATAGTCTCAAGAAGAACAATCTAGAAGAAAAGAAAAGCAGTCAATCCTTATCCATTATTTCACCAGCTGTCATGGGTGAGTCACTGGATAGAGATTCAAGGGGCGAAAATTTGTTTTTACAGCCGATACTCTTCTTCTCCGTACAAGCATCTTTCTGGTTTCGATTTCTTGTCGTGTTCTTCATGACTTGAATGGGCTTGGATTTGTCTTGTTGGGCTTCGTCATTCTTCACCTTATTTGGGCCCAATCCC